AACAGACTGAACGAAATTAAGCCATTAGTTAACGGCCTAAAATCTTACAATAAACATAACAGACTGAACGAAATTAAGCCATTAGTTAACGGCCTAAAATCGTACAATAAACATAACAGACTGAACGAAATTAAGCCGTTAGTTAACGGCCTAAAATCGTACAATAAACATAACAGACTGAACGAAATTAAGCCGTTAGTTAACGGCCTAAAATCGTACAATAAACATAAAAGAGTGAACGAAATTAATTGTACGATTTTAGGCCGTTAACTAACGGCTTAATTTCGTTCAGTCTGTTATGTTTATTGTACGATTTTAGGCCGTTAACTAACGGCTTAATTTCGTTCAGTCTGTTATGTTTATTGTACGATTTTAGGCCGTTAACTAACGGCTTAATTTCGTTCAGTCTGTTATGTTTATTGTACGATTTTAGGCCGTTAACTAACGGCTTAATTTCGTTCAGTCTGTTATGTTTATTGTACGATTTTAGGCCGTTAACTAACGGCTTAATTTCGTTCAGTCTGTTATGTTTATTGTACGATTTTAGGCCGTTAACTAACGGCTTAATTTCGTTCAGTCTGTTATGTTTATTGTACGATTTTAGGCCGTTAACTAACGGCTTAATTTCCTTCAGTCTGTATGTTTATTGTACGATTTTAGGCCGTTAACTAACGGCTTAATTTCGTTCAGTCTGTTATGTTTATTGTACGATTTTAGGCCGTTAACTAACGGCTTAATTTCGTTCAGTCTGTTATGTTTATTGTACGATTTTAGGCCGTTGACTAACGGCTTAATTTCCTTCAGTCTGTATGTTTATTGTACGATTTTAGGCCGTTAACTAACGGCTTAATTTCCTTCAGTCTGTTTATTGGGAGATTTTAAGCCGTTAGTTAACGGCTTAAAATCGTACAATATACAGACTGAGTTAGTGGCCTAAAATCTCTCAATAAACAGACCGAGATAGTCGCTTAATAAGCCGTTATCTGATCGCCCCAGACGGTGTGCCTTGTAATTTTTCCTCTGGTTTCGCTAATGAATGATCAAGTGTCTAGCTTACGTGAAAAAAGAATCAAGGCTGTTTTTGTGGGTCCAGACAGTTCAGAAACCGAAACGAGGAAGCCTCAGAGGGCAAATACAACCTTGTGTTCACAAGCCCCGAAGCTTTGTTTGGTAGTCATCGGTCCACTATTCTCACATTGACGAACAAAATCGAAGCTGTATTCATTGATGAAGTGCGTTGTGTGGCGAAATGGTTAGTGCTCTATTCTTTTCATCGTTACATTGTTAGAAAGCTCTCACCTGTACTACTTTTCGATCACCTTCTTTTCTTCTGTCTCAAGTTCGCTTTTGTTGTCTTCCGCGGCTTTCTCGCTGATATTTCTACAATCCTTACATACATGTAAGGATTGTAGTGCACTGTACCTGTAAAAATTTATAGCTTGTGGTTGAATTTTTTTCAAACCAGTGTAATGTTTACCTTCATTATCATCCTCTGAGAAAGGGAAATAACAATCAAACTGTTTTGAACTTTATTTAAGCAAACAATTTTTGAACCATGACATACACTTCGTTTCTTTGCATTTATCTTAAGTGACCAAAACATTATGTCAAAGCCTGTTATCAGAATGCAGTAAGCTGTCCTTACCAATTTTTGGGAGAGGTGAATAACAGTGGCTAGGGCTGTGTCAGAAACTGGGAAGAATACAAGCCTCAACTATGAGTTAAGGATTAGTTCATCTTTTGGGGTTATGGCAGTGGAAATAAGGAAGCGTTCCGTGAGGACTATGCACGTTTAGCAGAAATGAGATCGTTTTTAAAACAAGGTGCCCCTTTTATCGCATTGACAGCAACAGCAACTGATGCAGTTAGGAAAGTTATCATCAGGGATCTGATGATGAAGGACTGTGTGCAGTTCATAACAGTACCTAACAAACAGAATATTAGGTTCTCTGTTTCATCTGTTGATCCAGATGATCTCGAAACATCATTCCAGTGGCTTATTGATGATCTTAAGTCAAAGAAAAGAAATGCACAGGTGTTAATCTTTTGCAGATAGACACTTGAGGGAACTTTATGAAAATTTTCTTGAAGCTTTAGGAAGCAACAGCTATGTTCTTCCCACTGGACAAGGGCTAAAGGATGACAGAACGTGACTCTGTGCTATGTACTACAAGAAGACTCACCCTTTGGTAAAAGAAACAGTGGAGAAAGGATTTTGCAAAGTGAATGGCAGTGTGCGAGTGGTGTTCTGCACAATTGCTTTTGGAATGGGTGTCAATGTGGAAGGTGCCTACATTGCCCTTCATTTTGGCCCCTCTAGCTGCCTTGATGACTATCTTCAAGAAGTTGGTAGAATTGGTCGGAGTAGTGACAAGCAGAGCCATGCTGTACTTCTTACATACTCTGGATGCACAAGGGGCAAAAATATCACAAATGGAAGGAAAGAGTATGTAAGAAACACAGATGTGTGTAGGCATTCCTTGTTAATCCAGCCATTTTTGGATTGTCAAGACAAACCAGATGAAGAGACCAGAATGGAGCGTCATTCATGTTGTGATGTATGTGCAAAGACATGCCGATGTTTGTGCCTGTGCAAGGGTAAATGCACATGTGACAATGTGTGCAACAGCGAATGGTTTTTTCACCAATGGAGGCTATTTCCGAATCCAACAGTGTAAAGATAATCAAACAATGTAGTTCTGATTATGACACAGATGACAGTGACATTTATAAGCAGAATTTGTCACTTAGCCAATACTGATTCAGATGATAGTGACTAACTATTGACAATAATCATTACAGGTGTTTTCACTTTTCAGTGATTATATTTCATCTCAATCACTATAATTGCTTATTTCAGAATAATATTATTGATCTTGTACCTGTCTACATTGAGTGAGGTAGAGGGGAAGTGAATGTTTAATACTCCTCATCAAATTCATTAATAATTCATAAGCCAAATACAATAGAATATCACAGCCGTGACTGAAGTTTTGAATCGGCAAGAGATTTTGGGGGCCCTTTGTGAACTATTTACACTCACTGATCTTTTCAAAATTGGAGAATATATTATTAAATCCATATTGAAAACTACTTTGAAACTGACATTATTAATAATTCCATTTTGTTTTAGTAATGACTAGTCTCATTTGCGGTGATGCAATTTTTGCGGACTTGGACAAACTTTTAGGTGAAAGCCCTAAACGTGGTAACACTGAGATAAACAGCAGTTGATAACTAATCAAAGTTTGTAGAAATGTTTTCTTGAAAAGGTTTTCAGTGATTTTGAAATCCAACTTTTAAGGTCCTCAACATTGATATCAGCAAGCAAATTTTGCTTCATGTCTGAAAAAGCAGAGTGCTTTCGTCCAGCAATGCTATTGTACAAGTCCACTTCGATAAACTGGTCAACCAAAGTCATGACATCATCTTCAGTAGACATTTTTGTGTGTTTTCCAGGTGGCTTCCGTATGTCAGTGGAATTGTCATAAGCAGAGAGGATTTCATTGGTAGGACCAGTTGAGTGGCTCACCCTTGCAATGCTCCTGTCAGTAATTTCCCCCTTGAAGCTGTGTATGTCTGTCTTGAAAGCCAAATTGTCATGCTCTATCTCCTTGTCCATTGGAAAGTTTGTGTCAATCTGACCTTGGTGATTTACAAATATATTCCAAGTCAAAGAGTGAGCCAACCTTGGGCTGAGAAGGCATTTTACCCGAGCTTGAAGGTTCAGCATTGCAATTGCATACTTTGGGCAATTGCTTACCTTATAAAACAAACAAAAGAATTTGTAGAGTCGCAGAACTCTCTCTCCATCACCTAGTTTGATGGCATCTTCATGATCCATTCTCAGCGGCAACAGCAACAGAGCTTGGCGGGTGTAGTTGTAGACTCTGTCTGCATCACTGCTGGCATTGGTTTGGGAAGTAGGGTTGCTCTGGACAGCCTCAAAACGATGTTCTCTTTCCTCGTGCTTCCTAAGTGCACTTGGTCTAAAATACCTTCTGATACAAAATCGACACTAGGTCATTACTTTTAGGGGCTTGCTGGTTAAGCTCTGGCAATTTAGTTACTACATGTTCTTCAATCAAACGCTTCAAAACATCTTTGACATAAGCTTTCTTTGCTTGCTTGTCATTAGGATCTCCGGTGTATACATTTTGCTGTGAAACCCCACGTTTTTTTCCATCCCAAAGTGGTGCAATGCCCCACAAATTAAATATGCCCTTGTGACTTTGTTCAGAAACTCACTGCATGCATAAAAATTGTTGTGAGGATTGTCTGTCACATTTCTAGCATCTATCATATTTCGGGCTGCATAAAGTGTTCCTTTGTCCCTGGATGAGATGGTGTCATAAAGATGATGCCATGTGACCTGTTAGTGAACACGCTCAAATTAGTGGTCAGTACTTTTGCCATGCATTACAGAACTGTACCTCGGCACCAAATATGTGCGTAAAGTTGATGAACTAATTTCAAATTCTGGCCAGGCCTGTTATTCACCACAATGGCAACCACAAATTAAAATACTTTGCCTTCATCCATTCAGCCTGAGTATGGAAATCCTCAACTTTTGGAATCAAACCCTCTAGTCTGGATAAAGGTGTGCGAGCATCTTGCATGGAAGACTGTGCCTCTTTATGTCGCTCAAAGGTCAGGTAATCACCACCACTGAGGACTTTAACTGGTTTTCCGGTTGTCCCAGAGTCATGACAAGGAACATAGGGAAGAAGAAATTCCAGAATATCAATCATGTCTTCTTCGTGCTGCTCATTCTTTTGGAGAACACCAAGGTGAACCTGTGAAAAGTAGAAAATTGTTTTTACACAGTCATGCTTAAGTTTAGCATGATTGATTACATGTAACAGCTCCACTGGTGATATTATCAGAAAGTATTGTTGTTTTTTTCAATGTGGTTTCGTAGATTTATTCATACATGCTGTTAATATTTTTTTTGCTTCAAACATGAGAAGATTACTTGAAGTCTGAATCTTGCTTTCACCCCTCAATACCCAAAAATACTTAAAATTGTGAGGTCATGCAAGATTTAAATACGTCGTCAGTGGCGTAAATCAATGTCTTCTAGTCATTTAAATAAATGGGATATGTTCACTTTTTTTTTCATTGTTAATGCATCTAAGCAGCACTATTATTGTTCTTTTTATGTTTGTTACTTTACATAGGATAAAAGCAAGATGAAACTGAACCCAAAGTTAATACTAACATCTAGTTTCCTGCAAAGGAATAGAGTACTACCATTATTTCTTGAATGCTAAAATTTTAGCAAGTGGGATAAGTAACACCTACCTTCTCTGTTTTCTTTTTTGTGTTCTCCATCTGTGCATGGACAATTTGCTTAGGAAGGCACTCAGTAAACCAAGCTAACGAAGGAATGAACTTCCCCCACACATGGCCAATTAAAATGATCAATTCTTCAATTAGTGTAGATTGCTCTTCAGCATTTGGTAGAAATGAGGAGAAAAGGACTTGACTTGCATCATTCTTGGGGGAGATGTTAGGAAGGTGATTGGAAGAAATGCGATTCTTGAAAGCCACCATCTGGTACATGTGGTGATCCTTGTTTTTATTGGTCAGAGTCATCTGACGAGGCAGGATTCTCATGTCAACATTGTCACCAGTAAATGAATACCCTGGATGCATGGTGGTTCTGTGATAGTTTAACTCTTCATTCAGTTGTTGGACCAAATCAGACTCGGCTCTATTATCCCCTGCTGCAGTCTCCAATCTTTGCAGGATAGATTGCTCCCTCTGTACTCCTTTTCCACTTGGCTTTTCCAGTCCTTGAGTACTTTATCAAACCCTTTCCCAGCAGACTCAAAAAACCTGTTTGTAGCATCATATCCAATGGAGTCATACATGGGTGACAATCTTTTGAAAGCAACCTTCTTCAGGCCCCCTTTCTTTAAAATAACTGATTTAGCTTTCTTGTGGCGTTCATGTCTTCGTTAAATACTGAAATCAATTGGCATCCAGCATCTAACATAGGTACCACAAGTGCATCTTTTTTCTTCACAACATTTCTTCTCTGTGATGGATTTCACACTGCCGACTCCAAAAATTGCAAATACACAGGAGCTCTTGTTTTCAGTTCGTCCTGAACAACTTCCCATGAAAATTTAGCCAGGTCTTCAGGAGACGATTTTCTCAATACAGATGGATTTACCTTGGAACAAAGTCTAACAAGTTCAGAAGTAATTTCCTTGCAAGCCAATTTTAGTATTTCGCTTTTTGCATCGGCAATTGCAAAAAATGCTCTTGATATGCAAACAATGTCTCCCAAAGCTAGTTGTCTTCCCATTCTTTTGAAGGTATCACTCAGCTTAACTACCATTGATGGACTATTTGGGTATTGTATGACAACCTTTAAAAAATGACAAGCACAGATAAAAATCAGGATTCGTAAATATCGGGATTGAAAATGTTGCCTGGACTCCACAAAAACGGAATTTGAAAAAGTCTACCTTGAGCCCCACTGGAGTCCCACAAAAACGGACTTAAAGAAAGTCTACCTTCAACAGAAATCTAGAAATCCCATCCTTCATTAATTTGTCATCTGTTGACAACAATTGGGTAAAAAGATATTCTTTGGTATATGAGAATTTACAACATAAAACGAAAAGCTTTCATATCATACCCAGCATAACTTTCGGGAAAAAAATAAAATTTTGAACTAATATTTTGTGATTTTCGATCAACATCACTGAACACCTCCCATGCCAGTACAAGTATAAAGTGCAACGATGAATAAAACCTAGCCATTCTCAGCGTTTGAAACTTCCACTTACATGAACAGCAGAAACATCAGAAACTTCTGGCCAGGACAAAGTTTGAGAAGACTTCTCTGTTGATGTGACCAATGGAACAGGTTCGTTTTTAGCGCAGGCGGCAACAGCACTGCTTTCAACGAGCAAAGTTTTTCGTTTACTGCAAACTTTTTGATCGCACGAGGCTTTACTCTGTCTTTTCACCGAGTCGACAGTAGCACCATGCGCTGCTAGCCTCTCTTTTGATGATAAGAACTGCTGTCTTATTTCTAGAACCTTTTTTACCACATTTTCGTTCGTTCGGGCACAATTTCTGAATATAATACCTGTCACACTGTTGCCCCTGTCTAGCTTGGCGCCAATTAGAGTCTCTAAATTGACGCACGCTTGTGACTTGTTAGAGCCAGAAAAAAGCTTGCGACGATAATCCGGGTTTGAAACGGCCTCGATACACAGAACGCAAACCGTTTCCTTCGATTTAGGGGAGATATTGACCCGTGAAATAGTTTTAATTGGGGTCAGGTCATCCATCCTGAGTTATGAATTATCCAGTTCTTCGAGAACTGTCTATTTTATATACGAGCCGTCCATGACGTCATTGCAGTAATTTCCCGCCAACAATATGGAATCCATGCAGGCGCGACAAGTCGTCTCCTCGCGACTTCGTCGCTCGTTCCTTGCGACTACTTCGAGCATAAAAAGACGACTTCGGGGAATTGTATGGTGGCCGACATTACGTTTAACTGTCTCATTGGGCTAGAACAGGTTGACAAAATTCCATTCATATACAATGAAAATATATGAAGTTCATATATTTTGAACTGCGATATTAGATACATATGATGCACGATCCTCGCAGTAGATAGCGCTATTTAAGCAATAGCGAAAATCAGACCTGAAAAAAATCAGTCCTGTATGGGATTCCAACCACTGAACTCTGCAATACTAGTGCAGCGCTCTATCAATTGAGCT